GACCCAGTCCCCAAAATTCGATATGCTTCAACTTCACCGATACTTGTCGACACGATCGGGAGACCGAATTGAGAGCGGTTTACTGCCCATTCCAGAATCACGTCGTATAAACCTTTATTTATGTTCACATGTCGACGGGGGAATGAGATAGATGTTGTATTAGGAGAATCGACGTTCGCAATGTCTTTGCTGGGAAAAAAGCTTTCGAGCTCTCGTGGAGAGGCATTAGCACGGAGTCTGTTAATGTTAGCTTGGGCGAAAGACTTGAAGACACGTCCGACAATCAGCAGCGTTTCCTTGCACCACTCGATGCTGTCCGTCAAGCCACCGAACATATCACCTTCCTCGTTCAAGTATGAATACCAAAGTGCATACTTGGAACCGTTGGTAATGATTGAGATGTATTTATACGTACTATTCTCACCCGTGTCGAAGAAATACCTGGAGTATCTGTGACACTGAACCATTGCTTGGTCTAGGGAGGAACTCGACCATTCCAATTTGTCCTCAAATGCGTAGCACTTTGCCCAATCGATTTCTCTTTGAGTGTATAAATCCTGCCACGTCGTGTATGTGAGGTAATGATCCGCATAAATGCTACCACTAGGACCACCATTATGCGCATCCCGGATAATGGCAAGGCCTTCCCATATTGCCGCCAGAGATTTGTAAACATTCTGAACCCAAGGGTGCACATGTCCAACTTCCTTTTTCCAATCGTTATTACGGTTTGGTGGATTCTTATTAAGATGGTCAAATTTTCTTTCAATGGTGTGCGTTTCTTCGGGTGTGAGCTCATCCAAAAACTCAAAATTTTCGAGAGTTAGATAGTTTGGATGTTTCTTAATGGTAGAGCCCACCAGAGAAACTGAACGGGAGGGTGAGAGGTCCTTAAAATGAGAAAATTGAAATAGGAAAGGGCCAATAGATTAGGTTGATACGATCAACATTGAAAAAACATAAATTAGTGACGATTCCAATAGCAACTCATAATCAAAACCATATGACTACATCTACCCTACCCCATGTACACACTACTCTATGTCCCCAACTCCGAGTCACAAAGTCGTTACCTGTCTGCGCGGTCAATCTGAGCTGCAGCTCTCCTACTTGCTTCTCCCAGTACGTTTGCCTATCCTCCAGGCTCTCTTTCTCCTTCTCTAGTTTCTTCAACAGGTGTTGCTGCGCCGTGTTTAACTTTTCTCCCTCCCCTACGCTCACCCTCAGCGTATCCAACAGCTTTCCCTGCGCCGCGCCGTCCTTAAACTTCTGCAATGCTGCCTCTGCTTTCTCTAACTGCACCTTGGCATCGTTCAGCTCTCGCTCGGTCACAGTCGCCATTTCTGTTTTTCGTTAAGTTTGAATGTGCTGCGCAATGTGATCTAGTGCCATACTAACGCTGATCAGTGGCTTAACCAATTACAATTGCTGCGATTGTTTCCATTGTATGCAGAGTGACCAATGATAATTGATGCGCAGAAATTCGCGTTTGTCCAATATCATCCGCAGTGTATGATGAACAAACGAATATTTTATTATAAAAACAGCACTAGTTAACTTACTTCAAAAATCAACCACAACGCAATAAATATCGTTGAAACAATACATCTTTAAAACAAATCTGTCAACTTTCTTTCGTCAATAACATGCTTACATTCACAAGCGAATTCTTTTTCGGAGTATTTATTGGCTTTGTTTCGGCCTATTGATAAATGGCATGGTTTTTAATAGCCAACTCCGCAATCCGGGAATATTAATTACGAATATAAAGTCCAGAAAATCATCAATAATGAAACCATCGGCGAACAAATTTTACTCGCCAGAAATCGAAAAGTTGTGGAACGATTTGAGACAATTGTACGATAAAAGAACCGAATCGGATCCAAAATTTCATTTAACAAAGTGGCATTCGAAATTTATAAATTACTTGAAGAAAAAGCTGTTGCAGCTTCCACAATACGAAATTTTTATCTTCGAAGAACAACTCCGCGGAAATTAGGCAATCCAACGTTGGATCGACGAAAAGAAGAAGAAAGATGTAAATAACTCTGATGGGGAAAATGAAAATGAAGAAATAGATAATAGTGATAATAATATTGTTATTAATAGTAATAGTAAAGAAAATAATGAAATTTAAATTTGCACCAGAGTGACCAAAGAATAGGTTATACTCATCAATGGCTTTGGGTCCGAGTATTTTCCT